TCAACCGTGCAACAAAATATAAATATTCCTACAAATATTTTCATTTAATTTCCTTCTTATTTTTGTCTAAGCTCAATGGAGCCAGAGTAGAGGGCTTAAAGAGCCGTAGCCGCAGGTTGCAGACCCCTGAACCAACGTAATACAGTTATGTGACATCTCTTGACATAATACATGTAATTAAAGTCAACGTTTCAGTTTTTCAGCGTAGATAGCTACTTTGTTAGTAGACTGCTGCTGCTTTCTTGTTTCATTCACGCTACAAATGAATTCGTAAAACCTTATAGGAATATCGGATGCTGCTTGTGTACATAGATATTTGTTATTTTTCTATCTTGCTGCTGATCTTGTTTCACCCTCTTATTTTCCACATGTGCTGTGCTATTTGCTGCCTTGGTGCCAAACTGCCATTTTCCCCGAAGACCCTCGAGCTCTGCCAGCTTCTCCTCTAACTCAACAGCCAGGTAGAGAGCAAAACACTCGTACACACACACACACACACACACACACACACACACACACACACACACACACACACACACACACACACACACACACACACACACACACACACACACACATTTTCTTCTCCCAATTATGACTTCAATCACAGGGTTAACAGAGGTTTTTTAAAGGCTAATTTTAGACTGTGTAAACACTCTATTCAGTTTGCAAAAGGGCAAATCAAATGACTTATTCTCTGCCTTACCTAGTGTCTTTTTGAAGCAGCAGACAAATTATAATGTAGTTTTTCTTGAATATGAGGCTTCTACAGTATTTCAATGCTATATACCGACATATTTAGTCTGGCCAGGAACCTTAACTCTGGCCCCAGCTGTGTCCTGAACAGTGAACATAAAGGGTTGGAGATGCAGGGCTCCAATACTGAAAGCACTCTTTGGTGCACCCGTCAATCCTCAAATGAAATATGGAGCTGAATCCAGTCCAACCAAATTTCAATTCAAGGGTCTTTAATGTTCTGTCTTCTTTGATTGTAACACTTTGGTCAATGTTTGTATCCTTGTTTCTTCTGCTACATGTTGTCTTTGTTGATGTTGCAATATATTGTATTCATCATTATTTGTCTGACTCCTCACAACTTGTTTGACACATGGCCAACTGCTTTACGGCGTGTCAAAGATGGTAACATGCTTTTGTTCTTGCCTAAACTAAATGGGCGTCATTGGTCGCTACCGTGTGGCACATCAAGGAAACATGCTCTTCTATGTCAAAGCTACCACACAAATGTTTAATCACACCTTTCCGACAAAAATCGCTTCAATGATACCACAAACTCTGTTTGAGTGTTGGAAAACTGTGATGTAAGTTTCCCAATCCCCAGGTCTCAGCAACATATACAAAAAGCTGTAGTGACTTCCCTCAGGTCTCTTTTCTCACCATCTCTCTGACAGTCCCGTAAGTGTAATTAAAAACTACCATCATCCTCTGTTTTCTTACTCTTCTTCCTGTTGCAAGAACATGTCCTCTGGGTTCCATAATGGCCTCCCAGGGAACCTATCTTTAGCCAAAGTCAACAGTGAGGGATACTTGGAAAGCTGACATGACATGTTGGTGCGAGGTGACTCATTTTGACGTAGAGTTGACAGATCATGACTCATGCTGGCTTAAAAGAAGGGGAATTAAAGACCTTGTGTTCATCTTGACATAAATGGGTTTCCGCCCGGTGTTCGTCACCTTATGAGATCCTGTGACTGTCCTTTGAAGATGAACTGTTGGGACTCAGGTTGTTATGCAGTGTGTGTCATCACCTACACACAAGCGCTTAGGAAAATATGTGATTGAGGAAAATAGACATTGGGGGGTGAGCAGTATCAGATGAGCTTAGCTGATGGAGAGATATGTGATTTAAAAAACTTCTCATTATACTCTTAATACTTTTATTAAAAAAAAAGAAACTAATTAAAGTCCAGCCGAGATATGAGCATGAGCTATTTATAAATGTACCCGACAGTAAAATAGAAAAGAAAATGAAGTGAGCCAGCCATTGAAGCCCATTTTCCTATTGGCCAAACGGTGGTACTACAACTTCCATGTCAATCACTTGAAGTCATTGGGCCAAAAAAGACTTTCTCCCATTGACTTATAGGTAAATTAAATACAAAGTACAAACACTAAAATAGACCTTTTTTAAATCATTAGGTCTTTAAAGTTATAAAATGCTTTAAAATGTGAATCTAGAGTTATTTTTCCTATCATTTGACTGATGGAGACCGGTCTTGGCACTATAGACTGGAGGCTTGTCCTAAGGAAAACTCAAATTTGCATGCTCTATGGTCCCAATGGATGTGAAAGATTGCCAGAAGCTCTGTCTATTTTCTATTACTGAGAGTCGGGCCATTTTAGCTTCATGCTCCTCTGAGCAACTTTCATAGGAATGAACGGGCCATACCTCCAATATTTTATCCTTACTTACTACTTTGATCTGACCTCATTCTCTTTATACATCTATGAGTTGGCGACCTACATGTTGCATCAGCAAGTGTCTGACAGAGAGACAGGACTCTCTGACTAAGACTTCAATAGTAAAGTCTCCTGCTGCTGCCTTTCTCTCCCCTCACTGTAGCTAAGCAACAAGGGCCCGGTCCCTTCAGACAGGTGTCTAGGGTGAAGTCTCAGAGGTTTAACTCTTTTCTTCTCTCCATCAAAAACTGCTTTCTTATATTCTTTCTGTCATTTTCTCAGAGAATCAGTCATGCTATGTTTCACCAAAAAGCTAAGAAGGAGAGTTGTTCTTGCTTATAAAACTGCCACCACTGTCACTTAACTCTACTATTATTTCACAGAAGGCCTTAACACATTTTGATTGCCTTGTGTTTGTGCGACAGCAGTGGTGACCTCTACTGTGCTTATAAGGAAAACTGTTTTCAGTGAAGATGCTTTTATAGATGAATGTGTGCGAAATATTGAGCGAGAAAATGTGTTTCTGTGTCTCTGTAGTGGCATTGAAGACGACAGTGCCAGTCTAATGCAACAGAAGCTGGAAAAACAGGTAGGAACAAACTTGAATCAGAGTTAACCCTAACCTAACCTAACACTAACCCAAAGCTGTTTATATTTTTGCATGTGTAAATATTCTGTTGAAAATCTGTATTCCTTCACAGTTTCCAGTGACCTAGGACTGTTTACGAGGATTCAAAGGTCAACATTTACTTTGAAAAAAGCTAGATAACATTTTGAAATTCATACAATCTTTTCATCTACAAAAATGTTGTGCTTCAATCCCTATTCGTGGTGGTAAGCCATTCAAATACACAACTTTCACTGCGGTTGAAAAGCTGTTTGCCCTCCCACTTACCACACACAAAGGGAAGCACACCATGTATTTACAGGGCAGTTTAGCAGCAAACTAACAGTACCGTCAATTACATTTATATAACAGCAAAATAAACTATTTCCCATCAGCATCTTGTGTTGTTTACAGCTATAAAGCAGCCCCTTTAGCCTGATTAAACCCTCGGCTCTATCTCACACATGGATGGTGGTTTTGAAAGCTAACCTGTCATGATTTAGCATGGAACCGGTCAAATCTGAGTCCTGAGATGCTCTGCCACTGCGGTGTCACCCAGGGGTGCCTGCTGTTGGCAGGAGTTTGTTATCACCGCAGTGGTGTGCAATTTAGCGATTAATGTTGTTGGTTCGGAAACCTTCTGTTTTTCACCTGCCCGGTCACTCTGAATGTTGTTGCTCTGTCTGAATTAGTTTCCTTTCATCCCCCCCATAACCTGACATCGCCCTTCTTCTGTTTCACATTTGTTCTCTTTTCATCCTTCCCCCCCTGAGTCTCTGTAAGATGCTTTATCCCAAACCTTGCTGAAGAGCTGAGGTTGTAGAGCTTTGATTTAAGCTGGAAGCCTTTCTCCACTATCTCACACATAAGGCAGACAGGAATGAGGGGAACAGATTGGTGAGTTCAAAGAGAGGGGAGGATTTAGTGTGTGTGTGTGTGTGTGTGTGTGTGTGTGTGTGTGTGTGTGTGTGTGTGTGTGTGTGTGTGTGTGTGTGTGTGTGTGTGTGTGTGTGTGTGTGTGTGTGGCCCAGTCCTAACAACCTCACTTTAGTCTTCTGTTCTTATGTAACATGAAGATAAATATTAAAAGCCAGAGGAGTAGGATTTTCCATACAGCAATAGACAAAAAATAATCCCTCTCAATCTTCCCTAATCTTATGGAGGTCTGTGGCATTGTCTATACCAGTAACCTCTGCAAAAACATAGCAACCAGGTGTCTGATCAGAAGCACACATCCAAGAAGAGGCAACTCAAATGGAGGACACGTAAATGCAGATACAGCGAGGTGAAGCGCAAAGCTGACAAAGGGGTTGGCTTTCATCCCCTCGCCATCATCCGACCCCTTGTTGAGTCCGGGAGGAGGGGCTAGCTTTAATAATGTGTTTACAAACCCCAGCTGACAATTCTTTATTTATCTGGGGGGGGAATTGACTTTTTTTTTACACTTAATCCATTTTAGAATTAACTAAAAATAAAAGATACAGTAAAACTAATTCAATCATTATTATCATAAAGTATAAAGTAAAACAAATAAAGACATTTAAATAAACATAAGAAGTCAAAGGAAAATGTCCAATCAATTATAAATTTATAATCAAACCTCAGAAGTTAAGATAAAGATCTGCACATACCACAATAAATATAATTTATTTTAAAAATAAACACAGTGGTGTGTTAGCATTTATTGGCGGGGGGATTTGTGACAGCTGCCCATCAAAAAAAAGTACAACAAAAATGTAAACACTAAAATTTGACTGTTTCTTCCATACAATTTTAATAAAATGAAATAATCAGAGAATAATATTTGGAGCACTGTGGTTGTTCCCCATATCTCACTTTGAGCGAACCTCCCTCCCTTTTTCTCTCTTTACCTCTATCTCTCTCCCTCCTGCTGTAGCACTAACGACGGCTGATTCGGTTAGAATCGGTGGCCGCGCGCACACACACACACACACACACACACACACACACACACACACACACACACACAGTGGCGCTCAGCATTTGCCTGAGAGACAAACCTTTTCTCTGTCAGAGGAGCACAAAGTGCAGAGGAGGCTGTCGGTGTTTCAGCGGTCACACTCCAGATCCAGGAGAGGGGTGAGGGACAGGAAGTCGTGCCCAGCAGGAGAGCTTCTCTTTGGGGGAGAACGTACTTACATCTGACCTCAAGACAAACGGGACTTGTGATGTTTTTTCTATAAAGACACCGGTTATTTTGAATCACACTTGTTAAGGATCTCAATGGAACGGGTTGGTAACTTCATATATTTATTTTTCTGATATATTTCCTTTTTACAAGTGTGATAATAACAGTTTGGATGCTTGTTCTTGATAGAAGAATAAACCAAAAGAAAATTCAGACACCCAGTAATCTCTCACTGACTTCATTAAAAGACACACATTTTTATACAGTTTGTCTCACTTTTTCAGATGTAATGTACTTTATCTCATGTGTTGGCTGGTACAGGAAAGACTGTATGTGGAGCTTGAATGAAGTCACATCCTGGCCTCAACATTTTTACAAAACAATGCAGTATTACAATGGATCGGCTTAAAATAGCAGCTAGAAAGGGAAGGCGATACAATGTGGTCGGACTTTGATTAAATGAAAAATAAGTCAAGAGTGAAGGCTGACCACGCAGGCGAAAAAAAGAAGTCTTTGGACATAACTTTAGTCTCATGTTCAAGTGATTCTGATGCCGTTTTACGTAATTCAGTAGACCTCTTCGAAACAAAAGGAAGACTAAATCAGATCGCACCAGAAAATAACACTTACTTTGAGAAAAATCTATAAAATATAATGTTTAGCTTTAAGGTTAAAAGTGAAAAAAAGTTTGGAACCCATCATCAGGTCATTAAATGTAATCATCAGCAGTAGTGTTTTTCCCGTATTACCATTTTGATATTTGGCTATATTTTCACATGCATATTTAATACTAACGGTAATGACAGTCATTATGATAATTCTGCTTTATGATTTATGCATTTTTCGCCTTTATTTTTCGCCAGGAATGCAAATCCTGGGGTCCTTTTTAAAAGCAGAGTTTTGAAATGATAACAAATCTATGACCATATTTTAAAACTCATGTGAAAATCATCTTTCACTTGTGCCTTTAACATCTTAACCCACCTGTTGTCAATGGGTGGTTATTGGTTTTTATGGATTTTTTATGCCTCTATGTAAAAAACCATTATATTTATAGACATTTCCCCTCATAAGTCACCACATGCAGTGGGAGCAGATCATGCTGTGGTTGAACTGAGGGGAAGAAACAGTGACACACATCTTTTCAAACACATTTTATCAGTAACTGATGAGTTATGAAAGCTTTTTGGTTTGGCAAATACAAGACAAAGCCTCGCTACACAGCTTCACTAAACAAGACTTGTTGTGTATTTGACGCACTAATTAATGCGTTGTGTAATCCACCGGCTGCTCTGACCACAAACACTGGGGCCCCAGTGGGGGGGGGGGGCACTGGATATAGCATGACCAGGATGCATTTACTGCCTTTTATTGTAACTCAACATAAATCATTATCCGCTATACCACGGTACCTAAAGCAATGCTGTGTAGTCATTATGCTAAATAACAGAATTGTTGGATCTGCCTAATTTCTTCACAAAATGCACAGCTTGCGGCATTGAAAATGTACTGCACATTTTTGTCCGACCCTGACAGTTTAAATTAACAAAACTGTGAATTTTGATATTGAATACAGCCTAAAATCAAAGAAAACACCAGTGGCTATTCAGTGAACCCATTCAGAGGTATTCAGCCCTTGGAATCATTGTTGGGTTTTATTTCGGTTAATTGTTTTAGCCCCTTCTTTTCTTTCTTCCCTCTTAAGGTTATTTTCTTGTTGTGTGAGTCATCCCACAGTCACATAACCTGTATTGTGTGTTTATATTCCATGCAGTGTGGTTGCTTAACACTAATCTCGTGATTTCAGTCAAGCAATTTTCCTTTTCCTGTACCTTGCAAGGTTGCCATTTCTATTATGTAAAATATTCATGCTTTGAGTCACTTATCCCATTATGTAGCTATGCAATATATATCCTGCTGCCTAACAGGGAGGATTTAGCACTAGGAGATTCACAAAAACACTGTCGAGGGTGTGACTTAATTACTTATTCAGCTTGGATGGGTTTTTGTCGCAGTTAAATGGCAGTGTTGGTCTGTTGCCGCAACACTTGATCTCAAAGCAGAATATTTTCACAACTGGAAGGACACTCTGAGAAGAGGTTTTCAAATAATCCCCATTAGCCTCAGCTATCTTCATGTTAATGTTATCCTCCTGGTCATTTGCAGTACCTTTTTGACAGGCACAGGTTGGAACTCATCATGCATACTAACGTTATTACCCTCTGAATAGAAGCCTAATGCATGTAGTTGTTTCCCACTCCTTTGCCTTCACATCTGACTGCGGTGTTCACAGCGTTTCTGCTCTTGTGTCCGGTCCACAGAGGGCCCTGCTGGAGCAGAAGCAGCGGAGGAAGCGGCAGGAGCCTCTGATGGTGCAGCCCAACACCGAGGCCCGGCCCCGGCGCTCCAGGACGCGGCGGGGGGAGGAGCAGGCCCCTCTGGTGGAGTCACAGCTCCACATTACCAACGATGTCATCATTGATGGTGAGGAAAATTGTGTTTCATTTCTTTAATCTTATAAATATGTTGGAATAATTCTGTATAACAGAATGTTTAAAAAATATATATATGTTACTTAAAAATTCAATTATTCAAGGTTTTTTTTGTGATCAATTTTGTATGTAGTTAAGGCAGAACAACATGGTATGATATACATACATACAATGTGAAGGAACATAGATACAGCTCCCTTACACAAACAAAAATAACACCCTCCCCATGACCCCTGTGAGCTGGACTAAGCGCCAATAGGTAATAAGTAGCATACAATTACACATGAATCAGAAAAGAGGAGAGAGAAAGGAATCACATCCAGTGCTACATTATTTTGTTGTGAAGAAGCAGGAATTGTATCTGTTTGTAAGGCAGTTTCATAGTGTGCCACAGCATAAATGCATAGCATACACTAAAGATGATGCAGTAATTGGTGTTACTGTGCTGCAGACTTGCCCTGACACAGTTCTGTGTAATTACCACATTTCCAACTAATCTAATAAACCTCTGACTGCGCTCATCTCCTGTAGGTATCGATGGCCCGGCAGCTTTCCTCGGCTCTGAAGCTCCTGATCTGGGAATGAAAATCCTGTCAGTAAGCCAGTCCCAGACCCTGTCCCAGTCCCAGTCCCAGACCCTGTCCCAGTCCCAGACCCTGTCCCAGTCCCAGTCCCAGACCCTGTCCCAGTCCCAGTCCCAGACCCTGTCCCAGTCCCCTGTTGCTGAGGAGCCTGAGAGAGATGGAGACACTGAGACGCTGCTGCAGCCAAAGACAGATATCCACGAGTTACTGCAGAAACAAGGTGAGTCCTGGGAAAGCTTGGTTGACTTTAAAAGAGGAAATTCACGTTGGTTTTTGTTTTTGTTTTGTGAAGATAGAGTTGAAATATAGTTGCGTAATTTGGAACAAAGCTTCAAAAGTCTGAGATTTTTTAGTAGGCCTAATTGATGGAAAATTACACTTTTGTGCCAGAATATTAATTGAACTAACTCCATACATTCTTATTAAGGAACACATTTTCTTACTAAGACAGTTCAAATCCACAAAGCCCTCCGATTGACTCCTGCGCTCAGGGGACGTACTGTCTTCAGTCAAACATAAGAGCCAAATTTGGTTCCATGAGCACGCCTGCTGCATTACTCGCCTTCCTCCCTGACGCTGTGGAGTCCCCTGATGCTGTTTCCACTCTGTGTTAATGTACTTGTTCTTCCAAATCACTCCAGATTAGCCGCTGTTGTTCAGCAAAGTCAGATTTTTTATTACATCCCCAAAGATGTTTTAATCACCCCCCTGCTGCAGTGTGGAATAATGGAGAAGACAGTGGTGTGATTGATGGGGAGGCAGTGAGAAATGGGTCAATTAATAATAGGCATTGTTCACACTGCAGTGCTCATCTATGGCATCACTATAGATACTGCTACCCATATTAGCAGCCAGCTGGCATGCACTTATAAACTTTATGGAAGAAGTGTTCTCTTCTAATCCACCTGCTGCCTTGGAGCATAACGCATGTTTTCATTACATTACATTTATTTTGGCTTTTACCCAAAGCCACCTACAATAAGTGCATTCATCCATGAACATACCATCTCAAAACAGCAAGACTTCTGCAGGTACATTAGCTTTCAACAGGCACACCATTTGAAGTGCTACTGGATTCGCTTCAAAGAGGAAAAACCTTTCTAAGTGCTGCATACAGAAATAAAAAAAGATTTTTGTTTTGGCCAACGTGCGGTGGAAACGGGTTTTGGAGACTTTGACGGAAGGCATTTTCTGCCTGTGCTTTACTGTGACAGTAGCAAATCGTCCTTCTGTATAATTAAAGGTCTCATTGTTCATGTCAGCCCAGTGAAGCGGGGGGAATATGTCCTCAGAACCGAGAGCAGGTATTTTTGGCTCTCTGTTCCATTGAATACATCCACCCCTGAGGAAATGGAGGTGTATGTCAGCTAAGTCCTTGACTTCCACTGGTACCATGTAAACCAGTGCTAGCTGTTCCATGGTCGGGTCGTCGGCGACTAAACCGGCTCCCCCACCTGGCCTCGGTCTTGTGTGGAGGGTGATGGAGACACCCAGCAGGACTAAATACAAAACCTGTCAAAGGGCGGATGAGCTCCTCGTGAGCCAACGGCCATCTCCTGCAGCCAATGTTGGCGCCAATGTATTGACCTCTGTCTTTCCTTGGAGTCCTGTCAGCGGAGGCCAAGTGTGGTTCCTGCAGCTTGGGCAACGCTGGAGCCCTCATTCCCGCCCGGGCAAGTGCAATGGAGAGGACACTTCATCTCTCTGATTGCACTGTACAATCTCTTGTAGATTTTTCTTGCCAATTAAAATGAGGAAATGGAAGAATGACAAAGTCTGTGGAACATTTAGTATTTGATCAGCTCATTCAATCAAGTATTTTTGACTTGATCTATCTTTTTTGGTGTTATTCAATAGATTGTTGGGTAGAGAATTCCCCTTTCCAAATGGTTGGTCTCACAGAAGATGTTTCGGTGTGTTTATTGAGCTCTATTGCCACTGTTAGAGGGAAGCTAGCATTTTCTATCGGTACTTCGTAACGCTATTTGCTTTCTCTCAGGGAAAGCTGCACTAATTGGGTGCATCGCTTGTAAAAACCCCAGTATAAACATTGTGTGTGGCTCTGTTGTCCGTCACATCATTATTCTTGTTCAATACTGCATACAGGCCAGTGCTCAGGACATGTTGGGCCCAGGTGGCAGGATGGCTCTTCTGTCTGCCAAATATGAAATGCTCTGGCTGTGTGAAGAAGCAGGCTTTACCAGCGGTGTGCTAGAATTTTATGTAATCACTTCAAAGCTGGATATCCGGTAATAGGGACAATGCTGCATCAAATGTCCTACCAACCACATGATTGTAATTCATTTAATTTTCTGGTCAATCATTTCAAGTTAAATGTCATAATTTTACATATTTATCATAGACACACTGCTTACTGAGATATTTCCGTACCAGTGGACCACTGTCGTCCTCTGACAGCACATTAAAGTGAACTACAGCTGTGTCCAGGCAGATACATCCAATTATCAATGAGGAGACCGATGTCTCAAGCAGTGCAGAGCGGCATCAGTGAGTCATTTTTCATCTGCACGACTGCACGGAGCTGCCTCTCCACAAACACACAGATGCAAGCTATGGGTCATCTGCTCACATTAATGTCAACCTTGAAGAAACAGGCTCAGAAAAAGATGCATTGTTTGTGACAGGTATTGAGGCCATGAGCAAAATGTGATCTTTCCGTAGGTGAATGATGAGCAGAGCTTCAATTGGAAATGGGAAATGTTAAACTGCCCCCCCCCCCACAACCCAGGAAACTATCTGCAAGGATTACTCATTGTTACTCTTCAGTTACTGGAGATGGTTACCAATTTCGTACGGGAAAACAAATACCTTCACGCATTTCACTTTGTGTGCTAACCCAAGCCTTCATTTTCTGAAGAGACATACCCAGTGGCAGACAGAATTGCATAAAGCAAGGCTTATTAGGAACTAATCTAATACCAAATGGTGTTTTTATTCTACTGCCATTAGTATGCAATCAACGTTAACTTCATAATGATCAGTTCAAGCTTTAAACGTTGCCGCTTTGAGTTCATTGTTGTTCTGTTTGATAGGAAGCAGTTCAAATATGGCTTAGTTACATTTGCAAGGCTTTATCCACTTTCCTCTTTTGCTGTTAAACACTTGAAATAATTTCCTGTGTAAAACAAAAGGTAGCCTAACTATACAATTTTACTGCAATATTTTTGCTTCAACTGATGCTTTGTTATTGCATCAGCTCGTGAGAAATGATTTATCCAAGACCATAGATGAAACTGTGTAATCCACCTCGGGGGACACTTTTGAACCACAGAAACCCCTGGGAAGAAAAGAAGGAGATTCTATATGCACAGTCTCCGGGATTTATTTTCCTCTTCTGTCCTGTGTTGATTTGTGTAGAAAAAGAAAGGCCTCTCACATCTCTGCCCCCTCTCTCTCCAGGTCTGTGTGGCAGTATGAACTTTGATGAAGACAGCGAGCATGAGGGCGATGGTGAGGAAGAACGAACGCGCTCCCTGTCCCCCAACACTGACACCAGACCAGCCTCTGCCGCCAGTAGCAAGGACATTCCAGTGAGTAACAAATACACCAGGCGTAGATGACATAATGCCACATAACAGTGAAATACAGTCTAAAAATGCTGTTATTTGAACTAAAGCACTGTGTTGTTCCCAGGAGGGGAGCTCCGGATCTCCCACAGCAGAGAGCGCACTCGATGTGGCCAACCTGGAGGAGTTTGTCCTGCTTCCTGCTCCACGTGGAGTTACTGTTAAATGTCGAATAACCCGGGACAAGAAGGGCATGGACCGCGGCCTCTACCCCACCTACTTCATGCACATGGAGAGAGAAGATGGCAAGAGAGTGAGTAGCCTCAGAAGAACTATGAGTAATCCATGATAAAGATGATTGAAGAATAGACCTTTGGTGTTAATAGCCTAAGTGTACAGTAAAGATTTAAATATGTGCCTTTCTTGTCTCTTTCCAGGTCTTCTTGCTGGCAGGGAGGAAGAGGAAGAAGAGTAAGACATCCAACTATCTGATTTCAGTGGATGCCACGGATCTGTCGAGAGAGGGGGAGAGCTTCATAGGAAAACTGAGGTAAAAAGCCACTGAAGAACACATTGTCTCTGTCATTTTCTGATCGCATTCATAAACATACGTCTCAAAGTTCAAACTGAAATCTGGCTAAAATCCACCTGAAAATACTGTTTAGTTGAGTTTTTCACGTTTAAGACACGATCAACACGTTTGTTAGAAATAGCTACATTAGATGGCACTTTAAACAAACTACATTGGAGCTGAGATTTCAGACACTTAGCAAGTCTTTGCAATGCTGTTAATAAACTGTGTACAAAGCATGAATTAATAGCTGTTTATACGCTGTACCATGTGTCATTTCTTATATTCAAAGCCTCTGCTTGTGTTTTGAGATCCCCCTAAAAAGATATATTTAAAACCTCAGAAAATCCTCAATTTGTGTGTATTTCAAAGCTGTGTCAAAGGCTTTGTCACTGCCCAAGTTATGTTTGGCTGCTTTTAAGAAGCACATTGCTACTACCCATGACTCAGATATGTGCCAAATGCCAAACGGTGTGAACCTTTTGTGTTGTTTTCTATCAGGTCCAACCTCATGGGCACCAAATTCACAGTGTATGACAACGGCATCAATCCCTGCAAACACCCCGGGACGCTGCTGGAAGAGAGCAACACCCGACAGGAGATGGCTGCTATCTGCTACGTGAGTGAAATTCACACAAAGTCCCCTGCATTTCATTACATTAAAGTGAAACTGTCTCACCCTCTGTTCCACTTGGCAGGAGACCAACGTGCTGGGATTCAAAGGACCACGTAAGATGACCGTAATCATTCCGGGCATGAACATGAACTTCGATAGAGTCCCCGTACGACCTCAAAACGTGAGTCCGATGCTCACGAAATATTCACTTTAAGTAGAAAGGAAGACGGGACAAAAGGTTCAACTCCAGGATCGAGACATTCTTATGTACTTCATGGCTGATAGTATAGTCGCAGATTTTTTGCAGTTAATTGTATTTTTAGGGAAATTGCATATCCATAAAAAGAAATGGGCTGAGAATTTAAACAATATATTAGCACTATTAAAAACATAAGGAATAAGAAGGGCAATCAAAATGTATTTTACTTTCCTTTTTTTAAATGTATTTGTTTACTTTATGTAATGTTTTGTTGCTTCGTGTATCTACCCCTGGACTTTGTTGTATGTAGAATGTATGATATTCATGTATGATATTGAATAGATAAATAAAACTTCACTTTAAATAAGAGCATCAACTGAATGAATAAAAACCTGAACCTGTTGGTATTACAGGAGCAGGAGAGCCTTCTGAGCAGGTGGCAGAATCACTCTCTGGACAACCTGATCGAGCTGCACAACAAAGCCCCCGTGTGGAACGATGACACCCAGTCCTACGTGCTCAACTTCCACGGCCGCGTAACTCAAGCATCAGTCAAAAACTTTCAGATAGTCCACGACAACGACCGTAAGTATAAGGACAGAGGGTGTCGTATTGTCATACTGATATTCTGTACAAACTGTGAAGTCCACTGAGACAAATGTAACATTTGTGATATTGGGCTATATAAATAAACATTGATTGATTGAAGTATTCAGCACTAATCACTGTTTGTCCTCACACATTTTCCCTGATGATTAACTTACCGGATGTTTCCCATACCTCCAGCTGACTACATCGTCATGCAGTTCGGCAGAGTGGCTGAAGACATCTTCACTCTGGACTTCAACTACCCCATGTGTGCACTGCAGGCCTTCGCCATTGGCCTGTCGAGCTTTGACAGCAAGTTGGCCTGCGAGTAACGCTCCAGTTTTAATTCCACATTACCACATTTCCTGTCCTTCCCTCAAACTCTTCTCCAGGGGCTGTTTGGAAGCCGACAGCTTACATCACGGAGAGCTGGTTCACGCAGAAATCACACCGATACGAGACTGATAAAGAGGATACTGATCAGAGACTTTGGGTGATCCAACAACCGTCTTGGTTCCATTTTAGGGTTAGGGTTATCAGTTTAACTGTGTGTATGTGCACACGTACTAAAAGGGAAAAGAAAGAGCAGAACACACTTTCATATCTTGTCAGACAGAAAGCTTTTTTCTGTTGCCTTCCTTTGATTTCACTCTGTCGTTGCTCAAAAGATGGCGATGTCTGAGATGTTACTCAACAGAGTGTAAACCATTTTGAATTACAAAAACATGGCCTTTCCTTTGGCGCCACCCTCAGGCCAAACGTTAGAGTTATTTAGTGATAAGGGACTAAGAAAGCAAAATTCAGTTTTGCATCAAAGCCAGCATTTCAATGTTGTTTACATCTTTAAATGTGGCTCCATGATTTAATATAACTCATTTTGACAACTCCTTCTCGTGTGGAAGGTGCCTGTCTTACGTTTTTTGTGTGCTTTTTTTTGTGAATACGTGTAATTTCTATCTTGTGACTGTGATTTTTCTTTGTTATAACACGTTGGATTATCATTGAAAAAATAACATAAACGCAGAATTGCACATTTAAAGAGGAAGCATTAACATACTGTTTATACAATGCCCTCTTTTTAATCAGTTTTTAAATAACATAAAATACTAAATGTCCTTTCGAGACATGGATTTTTAAAATAATGTATGCATTAATACACAACACAGATCTTATATTTTCATTGGTGCACAGATTTTATTGAGTTAAGTTTTGTACAGCCCACATTAAATTGCATAGAAGTGTCTAAAATATAACTGCCAGTGTCTCTTCATCTCAATGTCTTACCCTTTACATTTTAAGGGAACCTTAAGGGAAATCGATTAAAGCTGGCATCCTTTCCATCATCATTAAATGTCCCTTACATCTTGTTTATTTACTGTACTGTAATGTTTAAAATATCTAACTCACAGTTACTTTAATCAGTCTAATCTGGAACAGAACATATGTTTAGGGCTTTTCAGGTTTAGATCTAATTTGAAAATGTTGTTTCCTGATCAGAAATCCCAAAAATACCTGTTTTAAAGAAATTAATAATACAAATATTTTCAACTGTGTGCCAGGAACTTATGAAAATAGTTGTCATTTTGTGTTAAATTCAGTTTTAAAGAGAGGACAAAAATGTATAGAAAATATTTTTGAAATATATCATGCTTTTACTAGAAGAGACTGTTGTGATGCACATTCCAGTTTAACTTTTGAAAAACATACAATCAGATATACGGCTGTATTGGAACAGATGAAGATTTAACAATGGACGATCAAACCTGAAAATCATGGTGAAACACAGAGAGAGAGATGAATGTATTCAGTGAACAATTTATTTTCACTTTCGAGAGAAAAACAAAAAGTACTTATTTCCATCAATGTAAAAACATTTAAATAACCAAAATAAAGACATTTTGAAAGTGCTTTGTAATTGTGAACGTTCTGCTTCCTTGTCTTCAAGTAAATTGCACATAATTGATACATTGTACATTTTGTCTCTGAGCGAACAATGTCTGAACGATCAACAAACTCCTCTGCTCTTAAGGAGTCAAATTTCAATCTCATCGGTTAGTTCTTTGTACTTGATGAGGTAGTATGGGTAGCACTGACAGCTGTCAAAAACGACAAACATGGTGGGGTTTTTCACGTCGTCCACGCAGGTGTCGTAGCGACCGATCGGCCTCGTCTTGGACTTGATTGGCGGCGGCCTGCGGTAGTTGGGCATTCCCTGAGTCACGTTCCCCACCAGTACTTTGACCAGGAACATATGGCGGACCCCGTTGGGCCGCGCTATGGCAGAGTAGGTGTTGGAGTAGGAGGCGGAGATGGAGAAGTAGGATCCGAAACCGCAGGACGTCCCGTTTAGCCCGGCTATGCGAGGGCCGAAGTTGGTGCGGCAGATTTCCTCCGAGGCCTCTTTGTTGGTCCCGTGGAACAATTGTCTCTCCAGAGGCTCCGTAGACACCTCCTGATGCTTCTGCATGTGCGCCTTGTGCCTGTAATGACAACGCACATATATCAAAATAGCTTGTGTCTTTTGTTCCTGCTTCCTTTGTCATTGTACTTCACTTGAAACGTAAATATAGACAGATATATCCAAGCACATTCCATCCACCGTTTCCTCAGGGGAGCAATTTCACAGGATCAAACTTATACCAAATGAAAGAGCCAGCCTTTGGTTGTTATAAAAAAAGGCCAAATATTTTCACCTAATCGTGACCTCTGTAGTCGAGACTATAAAAGACTACATTTCCCACGGCGCCAGCCTCTTAAGAGATACAGATATGGGCAACCTGTTAGAAAGATGCCGTCAGGACAGTTTTTATTTATTTGAGTTTTGCCTCTTGTTTGGATTTGTTTAACTATTGTAAAGGCCTATTTTCTTTGTTGAACAATATGATTTTATTTTAATTAAAGATGAGATGCACAACATCACCATAGCATCGGAAGGTGAACAAGTCATCGGAAAACTAAAAATAGTCTGTTTAGGGCGTCTAAGTGGCTGACGGTCACTAAGGAAGGAAGCGGAATGTTTTTTAGAGCACAAACAGCAGCTGAACCTTTGGTACTTGTCCCAGTGGAGGACGTTCTCCACCTGCTGGATGCTGATGATGTCCACTTCGGTCTCAGGCAGGCTCTCGTGGAAGAAGTTGTGGACGCTCCGATAGGTCGCTGTGCCCGCAGGAAGCTCCACCAGGCTGAAGTCCTGCTCTGAGGCCAGACGCCACACCGGAGGATACCAGGACCTGAACTCCTTCAGAGGGTCTACGCTAAAGTCGGCCCCCGGAGGATCACTGACAGGCTCAGCTGGGTTACTCTGGATCCCTGTCCTGGGCGTGGAGTAGAGGAAGGGAGGATATTAATGTTGTGCCTTACTGAAACAAACACTTTTTTTGACACTTGAGGTTTTTGAGTGTTGCTACAAATGTATGTCATCATATACAGTATAATGACCAAGCAAGAGATCAAAATGGGTACAGACTTCAGGTAAGGCTTCATGGAGTGGGGGGAGCGGTAGACGGGTCTGCAGCGAACTTCTCTATAAAACCTTGTGGTGACATTGATCTGGACCATGGAAGTGAAGTCCAGCTTGTGTTCCTGTGAGCCGATAAAATAAGAGCACTCTGGCTCCTTTTCGCTCATCTTCTTCAGCAGCAAGGTGGACAAAGTCTAAAGAGAAATGAACAAATGGATGATCAAGGAACAGCTGGTAAAAGTAAAGGAGCACAGAGCCAAGGAGCGATAATGGAAATGCAAAGTATAAAAACATTCACCTGGCTGTATTCTTTCCAGATGAAGTGGTCCAACCAGTAGATTTTCCACTTACTGGCCAACAATGGGTACAAGATCGGACTGTCAGAGTTAGTCAGTCGTCTAACTTGATCATATTTACATGAGTCGTCCATATTCATCGAGGTAAAGTCCAAATGGTATTTGACATGCCTAAAGGAGTGTTTGAAGAAAAATCTTTGTAAATCACAATTAACATTTAACACGTTTTTTTGCAGAAATGAACATTGTGTCATTTTCAGAGTTTAAGTGAAGACGTGTCCTCTTGCTCACCCATCCTTGATGCAAATGACCTCTTGGTTGACATCGCAGTAGAGCCTCTCCAGTGAGACCTGAGAGCGATGGGGAATGTTGATCCAGTTGTGGCTGCCCGTACACCACAGCTGCCAGTGAAACGGGTAGGGAGTGTGGTGCATGTTACACATATTCCCTGCGTGGCACACATTTAGGAGGAAGTTGTCACAGATCTGGATGTCAGAGGAGATCTTTGTGTGGAACAGAGAGGGGGGAGGCTCTACGGACAAGGCCTGCTGCTTGGTGGGGGGTATTAGGGTCGGGATGGAGGGTAGGACCTGTGTCTGATTAAGGGTGCTGGTCTGGTGAAGACTAGGCTGAGGTGAGGTGATGAGAGGCAGGCAAACGATGAAGGAGGTGGCCTGCGTTGAGGTTGAAGGTGAGTTCTGTGGTTGACCTGGAGGGCTTGGCAGAAATTGGGTGCTACTTTGGGAAAGAGAAAGTAAGACCTGCTGCGGGGAAAGAGCCTGAATCATCATCTGAGCCTGCCCAGTCGTGGAAGGAGGCACTAAGGTGGAAGTGCTTTCAGTTTGGGTGGAAGTTGTAATCTTCCCCTGCTTAGCGGTCAAAGGGATTAAATTCACACTGATGCTGTAGGGGTTGACGGTCCAGGCGATGTCAACAAGCTGGGATCTCATGGCCTCCCACACTGGGAGGCTGGTGTTGGTGTCAGCTGGGATTTCCAGTAATACAAGAGAGGGGCTCAGGAAGGTGACTTTGGATGGTTTGGACGGGGGCTTCAAAACTGCAACACTGTCAGCCGACTTTCTCTTCTTTCCTTTGCTCGATGAAGGCATCATGGCCCTCCTGTAAAAAATACATTTTGGTACAGACACAATGGCATTGGGCATTGCTAAATGTGTAACAATTTAGATGTTATATATATTGTTTCTTTGTTATTGCTGAAATGATGGTTTGATATTTTTGAGAATTTTACTCCAGGTTTAAATAAAGTCTTATTTTAGTGTTGATTATATTTCACATGATTAACTAAAGTTACTAAATAAATGTTGAGAAGTAAAAGTAAACGATTTAACTCTGATAAGTCAGGTAGGAGTACAAAGTAGCAACAAATTGAAATACTCAAGTAAAGTACAAGTCTCTCAAAAGTGTACTAAAGTACATTACTTGATCACATTATCTTAAAACGTTATACCACTGAGTATATGTCCAGTGTATTTTGCTTGTTCACATTTCTAAAGAAAACGTTTAATAAAAATAAAATTTGAAACATTGTTTAGTCCTTGGACATGGTGGAGGCTAAGGCTAAGTGAGTTTAGCTAAAACATGTGGAGGTTATATTGTAGCATAAGGAATCAAACTACAAAGAAAACATGTTTTATGGTGACTGGAGGTCTTAAATATATGTATTACATTTAACAACCTCTCACCAACGACATGACGTTCACAACTTGTTATCGTTATTCACACATGGTGTGCTATAATCATCTTGCACTACTAGCATTACGGCTATAACTAGCTAATGAAAGCTAATTAACACGTGTGTATTTAGCTAACCTTACCGTGACACCTGCTGAGACCTATGATCTTTTAACTTTGCTGGGAAAAAGCAGCTTCCCAATAAACTTCACTCAGTCGTTATGGAAATAATGTTAAAACTTGTTCAGAACATTTACAGGTAGGCCTAATAGTAAATAAACGTTTGTTAAAGTTAGGTGATTTAAGAAGAGGAGGACATGTCGACGTGCGAAGCTTCACTGTTCAGTGGGTGTGTTCAAGTGATTCTAGAACTTGGCGTGAAAATACCAAATAACCAGGGGTGCACATAAGTGGTACGCAGGTACGCATGCGCGGCAACAATCTGAAATGCGTACCGTCACTTGTGTCACAAAGCGCATTTTGCGTACCGACGTACTTGTGAAGCTTTTCCAGAAGGCGGTTAGATAACCGGACGACGGAGTCGGTCTCCGTGTGCAAAGACAGGGCTGCTGTTAACGTCGGCCTGTACAGCAGCACAGCGCTAAAACAGCTGATCACAACGTTCACACGCTCTGTGGTCACGAAGCTCTGCACTCCACTACCACCCCCCCTGACATTCGCGATTCCGAGGGCTTCATGGGAACTTTGAGGGGAGCCAGAAGTTGGAGTACCAAACAGTGACTCATCTGAGTACCTCACTGAGAAAGTTGTGTGCACCCCTGAATATAAACGTATATGTATT